CTCGGCTGCTAGCCCCCCCCCCCTGCCCTTTCTCCGTCCCACCCCCCGTCCCTGACAAACCGCCCAGCGATGCGTCGTACCTCGGGGAGCCCCATACCCCCGCCCGCTACAGGCGACTCGTGCGTTCGCGTCCGGCTAACAGCCTGATTCTCGACTATTCAGGCCGGCGATTTTGTTCTGCCCTTTCTCCTGATGGGATCCATCATGCTAGTGTGCGCTGCCATCAGCATATGGCGGCTTGCCCGCCGCAGAACGATAGGTACGCTCGCGGCGACGCGACACGCGGACGCCCATTGCACGTGCACGCAAGCATCACGGCTCGAACGATGGACGGGGTACCGGGAAAAAACGCAACCCGTGGCCCGGCCGCGCCGCAAATATTGTCTTAGTAGATCGGCACAATGTCTTTACACTGTTGTCCGTCGCGCATGGCATTGTCATTGACAGCATTGTCATTGCACGCATTGTCGGTGGCGCACATTGTTCGCGTGACACTTCCAAATTTATAATCTTGAAGCGTAATTTTAACAAACGAAAGAGGAATTTGGCCATAAACTCGAGTGAGAATTAGGCGCACGTCGTCGCGTCGGTGTGTGTTTGTGTGCGTGGCCCACGTTTAGATTTGGCGATGCAGATCTGTGCAGATGGAATTGCGTGCACCCGATGCCATAGTTAGTCGCAAGAATTAACTTGGTCTGTAATTTAACTGTGGCTTTGCTTTGCTGAGATGGGGCCAAGCCCCACCCGAACGAAGCTAGGCCCTGAGTAGATCAGGTGCTAATCTGCACCCTGCAACGCCCCCCCCCCCAAAAGGTTTCCAGCTTGTAGACAGGTGCCCATTCTATAGTGGTAGTTTAACTGTATAAATTCCAATCAGGAGAAACGCCAAAGTGTTCTAAACGACATGTGACCGGTCTATAGCGATGCTTTAACTGTATAATTTCCACTCAAGAGAAATGCCAAACTGTCCTTAATAGACAGGTGACCAGTCTACGGATGTGACCGCTAAACTGTCCTTAATAGACAGGTGACCAGTCTACGGAGGTGACCGCTAAACTGTCCTTAATAGACAGGTGACCAGTCTACGGATGTGACCGCTAAACTGTCCTTAATAGACAGGTGACCACTGTCTACGGATGTGACGCGCTAAACTGTCCTTAATAGACAGGTGACTCAGTCTACGGATGTGACCGCTAAACTGTCCTTAATAGACAGGTGACGCAGTCTACGGATGTGACCGCTAACTGTCCTTTAATAGACAGGACGTGGTTACGGACGTGACGCTAAACTGTCCTTTATAGACAGGTGACTGGTCTACGGACGTTGGACGCCTATCAAGGTTTTCACGCGCTTCACTCATTACAAACGGCTCCAGCACGCAGGCAATCCCATCTACGTCCGACGGGACGATTTGGCGCGTCCCCGTCCGGCCGACGCGATGTAGGCCACTTCCCCTTTCTAGAACATTCATCTGACTGTGTCCACCTGGAGTGAGTTATCTTTGCTGTCAAGCTGTTACAGCCTTCTAAGATCGTGACAGCAGAAACACTTTTTTTAGCGGGTAAGAATTATCTGGTCCGTTTAAATAGTACTGGTTAAACACGTTGGTATGACACTATTGAGGGTTGTGTCGATAACCGCGCGCTGCATATTAAAATATTATGCATGGTACGTCTTATCCGCCCTGTCATGTGTATTGTGTATTTTTTTAGTTACCTTCAGATATTTCCACTTGTTATCACTGTTTGATCACAGTGGCTGCAGAAGATTAAATTAAGACCTAGCCTATAGGATGCACCTCAATTTGTTCTCCTACTGATGCACCTGCCTATATGTCACAGCAAGCTGTTTGGGACCGTATAGGTTTTTTGTGGGCGGCCATTGTGCGACAAGGTTTTTCTTTCAGATTTAGAGAAATCGCTCTTGCAATGCCCTCAGTGATTAAGGCGTGTTTTTGGGCGGGTGTTCGTTTGTCATCAATCGCACGATAGCAAAAGCGCGCCTCCCTCCGTACTATTATGCGATCGATTGATAAACGCTGGATGTCTCTTGTTCTTGGTTTCTTTGTTTTTTTTTTTTGTACAGGCGGGAGGATTTCTGTTGCGCCATTTCTGTCTGCTGGGCGGTACGTCGTGGTCTCGCGTGATGGCTAGCCTCTGGCAGTATTCAAGCTTACGTGTCGGCTGGCTGTCAGTATATTAACTGTAGACCGCGCACGCAGGAACGGTAGGCAACGCTTTTACGCCAGCATGGATCGTGCCACATTTGGCGCTCGGAATTCTTGGGATTGAGCATCATTGTGCGGATATTGCGAGTAGACCGAGCTGTTAATATGCTTATAGACGACGCGGTAGCCGTTACACTCGGCCTACAGAAGATAGATCTCTGTTAGCTATTGCAACTCTATGGGAACGGTGTAGCAGTTTATGTTGTATACTAATATAGAATACTATATTATACACCCACGCATTGCACGCACACATATGCTAATGGCTAACCCGCACACCATATGAATATTGTGTATTATAATTATTATTCGTATATTATATATTGTAGATAGAGTTATAAGCAGCAAATTTACGGTTATGCAGTGAGGATTGGGGTTGTTGGATAGGTGTTAGAATTTGGGAGAGGGTTAAGAGAGGGTGGGGAGAGGGGGCGAGAGGGTGAGGAGACGGTCAGGAGTGAGTTAGAAGAGAGTTATAGGAAAGAGTTAGGAGTGAGGGAGGAGAGGGTGAGAAGAGGGATAGGAGAGGATGACGAGAGGGTGAGCTAACAGTACATACAAAGAACTACATAGAGCTATAAGGCCAAAACAAAATATATGTGGTTACCGTTACATGCCGAAAAAAAATAGGGTAGGTAGGTAGGGAAAACATTTCATTTTCTTGAAATATTTTATTTACGAACCATGTCCGAAGGATGTGCGTTGTGCCTTTTGAAGCAGGAACTGTCCAATTCATATTTTTATTTATTTTATATTTTTATTTTTTTATTTTTTTACTTTAAAGAAAATTGACAATTAAAATGTTTAGGGTCGCTGGGAATAAATAGGGTCGGTCTGGAAACCGTAACCACACCTATATTTTGTTTTGGCCTAAGGTAATAATATTATTTTCTTTTGGCTACTAGTACTATACTGGAGCACCTAGATCAATCGTGACAGGGATGGATTACGTCGTGGAGAACTCAGCATCCCTGAGGCAAGCTGGAGGTCATCCAAGCTGAAACTGCACGAAAGATCGGAGCAAAGAGGACGGGAGGAGAAAGCAACGATCGAGGTAGGCAGAAAAACGCCTGGGAGAAACGCACGGATGAAATCACCGAGAACGTGCAAACGAGAAAAAGTAAATTCATTAATTAATTAATCCGTGATTAAAAGGTTAATGAATTCATTAATTCTTAATTATTAGATGTGGTACAGTGACCTGTACAAATATGCAGATCTTGCAGCAAGAACCAAGATGGAAACCGTGTTAGACGTGCAGATTACATGCAGATAAAAAATAATCACTCGCGTCATTTTAGTGTAACATAAGAAAATATTAAAGTATCGCAAAATGTTGGTATATATATATATAAATCGCAGTGGCTACGCGTCCGGTCATCCATTACAAAGCTCAGCACAGAATCCCAAATCCACGTCACGATTAGGCCACTCCCCTTTCAAATCATTGATTGTACTTGATTTACTATTGCTTCAAGTTACAAAAACACATTTTTTTACTAAAATACCTAAAAGTAAGTAACATTATGGTAAAAACATTAAGTGCATTATGGTATTGTTTATTTTTTTTTACTGGAAAAATATAGTTGGGTTCACATAAGAAATATATGACCGGACGCGTAGCCTGGGAGCTGGGCGTCCGGTAACCAGACGCGTAGCCACGGCCTATATAAATATATTGTAATTATAGTGTAAATAACAACATAGCATACCCCGTAGAGCAGGCCTCCAATTGGTGGACCGACCATCAAGCCTAACCCGGTAAATGTCTCAAGCAGGCCCTTGGGGAGAAAAATGAGAAATTACTCTTAGTTCACGAATTGTTCTCACATAATATTTACGTAATCTAAAACTCCGAAGATCGATCTATCTTTCGAGGCTAACATCTTCTGCTCATCACGATTAAAAAACATTCTCAAAAAATCTCTTGAGACTAAAATTTCCCATTCATCATGGCGAGAACCATCATTAAAAAAAATTCTCAAGAATAAAATCTTCCGTTCATCACGCGAAAACCATCTGCAAAAATCTCTCAAGACAATAATTTCCCATTCATCAGGCGAAAACCATCATTAAATTTTTTTTCCGAGAATAAAACCTTCCGTTTATCGGGCGAAAAGCATCCGCGGAAAAATATCTCGAGACTTAAATTTCCGTCTACGTCGATGTCAAAAAGTAAAAAAACGCAGGCGGTGGTATCGGCAAGTCACCGCGGGCACGTGGTGGGGGGGAGGGAGTGTCGGCGAGTCACTCACAAACACGGTCGCGACGCGGCCGGGAAACTCGTTAGCGATGATCGAGAACGAGGCGGTGACGAAGGCGGTCGCGGCGATCGACTCGGCTATGCGAACGGCAAAGCAGAGGCTGACGAACACCGACCCGTTGGGCGCCAGGTTCAGAAACCTGCCGGAGAGAGAGAGAGAGAGATGAGAGAGAGAGAGAGTGAGAGAGAGATGAGAGAGAGAGAGAGTGAGAGAGAGAGAGATATATATTTATATATATAGTAGAAAAGTTTTTAGGTTGCACCATATTCAGTTTTCCGTAGACTGGTCACCTGTCTATTAAGGACAGTTTGGCATTTCTCTTGAGTGGAAATTATACAGTTAAAGCATCGCTATAGACCGGTCACATGTCTGTTTAGAACACTTTGGCGTTTCTCCTGATTGGAATTTATACAGTTAAACTACCACTGTAGAATGGGCACCTGTCTACAATGGAAACCTTTTTTTGGGGGGGGGGTGGCGTTGCAGGGTGCAGATTACACCTGATCTACTCAGGGCCTAGCTTCGGTTTCGGGTGGGGCTTAGCCCCATCTCAGCAAGCACAAGCCACAGTTAAATTACAGACCAAGTTAATTCTTGCGGACTAACTATGGCATCGGTGCACGCAATTCCATCTGCACAGATCTGCATCGGCAAATCTAAACGTGGGCCACGCACACAAACACACACCGCGACGACGTGCGCCTAATTCTCACTCGATTTATGGCCAAATTCCTCTTTCGTTTGTAAAATTACGCTTCAAGATTATAAATTTGGAAGTGTCACGCGACAATGTGCGCACCGACAATGCGTGCAATGACAATGTGTGCAATGACAATGCATGCGCGACGACAACAGTGTAAAGACATTGTGCCGATCTACTAAGACAATATTTGCGGCCGAGCCCGGGGTTTCCAGCTTGCGTTTTTTTTCCACGGTCAACCGTCCATCGTTCGAGCCGTGATGCTTGCGTGCACGTGCAATGGCGTCGCGTTGTCGCGTCGCCGCGAGCGTACCTACCGTTCTGCGCAGGCAGGCCGCATATGCTGATGGCAGCGCACACTAGCATGATGGATCCCATCAAGAGAAAGGGCAGAACAAATCCGCCGGCCTGAATAGTCGAGAATCAGGGCTGTAGCCGGAAGCGAACGCACGAGTCGCATGTAGCGGGCGGGGGGTATGGTGGCTCCCCGAGGTACGACGCATCGCTCGTCGCGGGTTTGTCAGGGGTGCTCTCTCTCCCTCTCTCTCTGTCCTGTCCTGTCTGCTCTCTCTCTCTCTCACTCTCTCTCTCTCTCCATCTCTCTATATATAATATATATATATATATATATTCTCTATATATACTATAGTATCAGGAGTCTATCAATCAGTGAAAAAAATACACTGGGGCTCGGGGCGATTTAGCCCCGAAATGCCAAAAAGAGCCCCGTAAACTTGCATAGAGTTCAGTGCAAACCAATTTTGAGTGCTATTTCATGCACGCGAGGCTTGAAAAGTAGCCTCCGAAAAATAAATTTATTCCCTGCTGTCAATATACTGGTAGATATTGATAGACTCCTGATAGTATATATATGTTCATGGTAACACCTATACGTGACAGGCTTTAGTATAAGGAAACAATCTTGAGTCTATTATGGTCAAACGTTTATGTAGTAAGCCTACAGAATAATGTAGTAGGCAGGTCCGGTGGGCATTTGTGGGTCCGATGTGATACAAGCTAGAGCGATGAATGTGCCATTTTCCTTTGATTGCCTTGCAGATAACACAAATAGGATCGAGGTTTATGTATACAACAGGATTATTTGTGTGTGGTGTTACAACAATCTGTTCGGTGAGTTATTCTGCATTAAAGTGCACGGCTAGATATTGTATCGGCTGTTTTCTCAATGTTTGCGATATACGGGGCAATGCAGTGAATCTAACACTTGGGGTCTCGTTATCGTCACATCCCGAGCGAACGTGCCATACCTCGCAGCGGCACCACTACTAATTATATATATATATATATATATATATATAAAATGAAAGCGCTTGTGTAAAACTAAATGTCAGATTATTCTCTTTTTTTTTAACTATAACTGAATATGGTGCAACCTAAAAACTTTTCTACTATATATATAAATATATATATATATATATATATCTCTCTCACTCTCTTCGTCTCTTCTCTCCTCTCTCTCTCCGGCAGGTTTCTGAACCTGGCGCCCAACGGCGTTCGGTGTTCGTCAGCCTCTGCTTCGCGTGCGCATAGCCGAGTCGATCGCCGCGACCGCCTTCGTCACCGCCTCGTCTCGATCTCGCTAACGAGTTTCCCGGCCGCGTTGCGACCGTGTTTGTGAGTGACTCGCCGACACTCCCCCCCCGCACCACGTGCCCCGCGGTGACTTGCCGATACCACCGCCTGCGTTTTATTTACTTTTTGGACACTCGACGTAAAGCGGAAATTTAAGTCTCGAGATATTTTTCGCGGATGCTTTTCGCCCGATAAACGGAAGATTTTATTCTTCGAAAAAAATTTTACGATGGTT